ATTTATTGCTGTTGTGTCTTTTCCTTAAGTATCTGCTACAGGTTATTGTTGGAAAGAGGGCACTTGTCTAGGTGTATCTTGGGTTTGTAAACAGGGTCCTTCTTAACCTCCTGTTGGAACAGGTTGGTAGCTGAAACCTAAGGCAATAATGATGATTTTTTTTTCTCTTTGCAAATCGACATTCTCTCCCTTGCTCATTTTTTGCTTCTTTTCTCAAAGGAACACTTACAACAATATTTTCACCTTTCATGTAAAAAAGACATGTATTTAACTGTGACTGCTGTGTGATGAAATCGATGACAAAAGAAGTGTGGTATCTCTAGATATAAGGAAGTTTGTATCATGTTCACAATTTATTTTTTATAGCTGGTCTCATCCTTATACCTAGCTTTATTGAAATCCATGCCTTAAATGTTTTACAAATGAGGTGTAAGATATGTATTCCTGTTATTGAAGATTTTACAAATTCCTTTAAACGAAACCTTATAAATTTCTTTAAAAACCTGCTCATATTGTATTGAGTTCAAATTTCTCACCCTTTGAGATTTTGGGGGCAGTTATTCCTCTCTTTTAGGCATATTCTATTTTTTGTGCACACTCATAAAATCATAATCTTCCTAACACCAGCTGATAGGATTTTGTTTTTCTCTTGAGGCATTGGGTGCCCTCATAAGCCCTGTCTTCAGGCTGGCGCTTCAAAGAAATCAGTTCCCCTTCAATCATAATGAGGATTATGCTGCTCTGAGGAGGCATCTTGATTCAGATTTCCGTTTGGAAACTTTTGTATTCTGTTGCACAAAGGCATCTAACCATTATCCTTTGCAATTCTCCAGTCAGATGGAATACACTTATACAGAATTGATTACTGTACCACCAAGCTTTTCCCGGTAAACGCGTAAGAGTTTATGAGCACCACTTCTCAACCTGGTTTGCTCGAAGTCAGCAGTGGGGAGAGGGAAGGGCCATGGGGCGTGCTGCACACCCTGGAAAGTTATCCATTGTTTCAGGGAGTAACTGATCTGTAATTATGGCTCCATAAGTCAAGGGATGAGCGTTACCTCAGGTTCCCCAGTCCCACTGGACTGAGGGGGTCACACTTGTCAGCAGCTGGGGTGTGTGGGGAGAGCTGGAGGTGATGTGCCAGCACGGCTGCCCTGCCACTGGGCAGCTCTCACTGCTGCCTTCCCCCTGGGGGTCCCTGCAGTGGGTTTATCGCAGGCTGAGGGGTGCCTCTCAGGCTCCAGGCTGGCGGGGTCAGGTCTTTCTCTGGACACCACATGCTGGTTGCCCTGAATCTTCTTGGTTAACCTTAAGCCTTACAGGCTCTATTGTTGATCACAGCCTATTTTAAATTTTTTTTTATAATGCCCTAAAGTACATTTCCTTGAAACATCAAGATTGCAAATTCTTAGTTTTGCAAAATACCATTTGGAAAAGCTCTTGCTTTCTTTATCAGGATCAGTCTTGTATATAAATTCAGTGTGTGAGTGGCAATTACACTTTTGAAGAGATAGTCACATTAAAAGAAATTAAAAATATTGTATAAAAAATACATATAGATGTATCAGAACCCCATAATTAGCGATAATGTGTTTTTAGCCCATGCTGACTTTCTAAGGGCCATGCTTTTTTCAGGCCTTGTTCAGACAGAATCTCTGTGTTAATTCTGTTGAAATCCCTGAAATAACTTTCAGAGTTAGGATCTACTTAAGTGACTAAGATGAGAGAGCCTGACATTTAGGAAAAGATCCAAAGCCTATTAGTGCTGATAAGAATTTTAGTGTGTGCTTCTCTGGTGGCTTCATATCAACTTGCTTTGATTTGTGATGTCTGTGTCAGTAAACGTGGAGGAGATGAGTACATTTCTTTGTCTAAAAGGTGTATTTAAATATGTTTTCCTTTTTTCAAGTATTTTATTAATAATTACATTTTTTATGCCATTGAAATGATATCTGATTTTATGTGGGTGCATCTATTTAGAATGAATTTATTTTTATATTATTAAGGTTTTTTCAGAACTGATTTTAGTCAGGGTTGTTATTGAACAAGTCTCACCCAAATTCTTCACTATTCTGTGTGGACTAAGTGGAAAAAACCCCATCAGGTAGGGCACTGAACTGCTTGTATAAACAGTTCTTGAGACAATTATATCTATTTTGAGTTCTCAGTAGACATTTTAAATTAGCATGAAAAGCAAGATTATTATGGTTTTGGGTACTTTGATGATCTAAGCTCCCAAGACAATGAATCCCTCTTTCTCAAAGCTTTTTCTAAGATTCCCTCACTGCATGAAATACATGATCTCTCTTCCCTTTCTTACCCTTCCCTTCAAACCATTTGAATTCAGAGTAGGCAGATCTTATGCGACAGATGCTATAACACTTGAAATGGACAAATTCTGATATATGGAACATATGGAAATTATGGTGAATCATTGAAAAAATGTCCAGCCAGAGGATTAGTTTATGTATCAAAAATTTTTTTAAATAATCATGACAAATATGATACTGAGGATTTAAACCAGCTGACAGCAGTAAGAATTTGACCCTCATCTAGCAAACCATCCCCTTCCTGAATTCAAGGTGCTGTTCATCTGCTCAGTGAACTTGAAGGTTGTGCCCTTTAGTGACCCAACTTCATCAAGAAGTTGCAGATTAGTTTTGATTTTTCCCAACCCAAAGTTGACTGTGTTACCTTGATGACTTAAAAAGCATTTAAAAAAATTTGAATAATTAATATAGCACTTAAAGGAGGTTGATCTTTTTGATGCCTACCACTCACTTTGCTTAGAAGATGCCAGAAGGATGCAATGCAAGAAGGGAAGCAATGCAAAAGTGCAACATCCCTTTCCTCTCCCACCCGCCTTTGGCAAGGGGGTGCTGTTCTCCTTAACCTAACTCAGAAGCCTAGATTAGCCTCCCAGTTTCATGGTATCCTTCTGATCTAAGTGCCTTTGAGCTTTTTGTAGGGATTTTGGTCATTTGTTCAATGACTTTATTCTTTCTTACAGGATTTTCTTTGAAAGAAGGTTTTTTAGAATCTCTATTGTTGTGGCAGTTTTCACTGAAGCTATTTCAATTTTGCAATACTCCAGCCTTCAGTGTCTGGTTTTCAAACTCTGTTGGATCAGGTTGGAAACAGACATCTGAAGTGACTGTTTAGCAAAATAATAATTTTTTTTTACTGGTGGTCTACAGTGAAAAATATGCAAATATGAAAAAAATGAGCTCATTTGGAAGGCACTGAGCTTTAATGAATAACCATTTATATAACAGCAAAATAAAGCAAATGAAAATTTGTTGTGAACACAAGCTCTTTTAAAAGAACAAATTAAATGAACATACTGAGAGTTATATCAAGACACTGGAGGCTTTAATAAACCTGATCTCTGCACAAGAGGTGCTGAATAAAAGAGGAATCAAATAAGATGTTCACAGAATTGGCACATAAGTATTCTTATTTCTAGCATAACAATATACAGCTTAAAACACTGAGTTTGAAATCCTACTCTAGTACATTACTTGAGGTGAAACAGTGAGGAAAATAATCTGTTGCCCATAAACCCTGTGCACAAATTTCCCCAGAAATGGCACTTTCACTGGAGGGTTTGTTTGTTGATGATGCATATATCTGGAAATTAGCATCCAACTGAATGTTTTTCTTCTATACAAGGCTGGATGGTTTTAAAGGGGGAAATACAGCAAGAAGAAAATACTGTGAATATGTGCTTTGTTGCCTTCCTTCCTTCCTTCCTTCCTTCCTTCCTTCCTTCCTTCCTTCCTATAAGTCCATATTTAATGGAATTTATAGACAAGAGTTGTACACCTGTATGACTCTAGATTTTATGTGGGAATTATTTTCTCTCCAGTATCTGGAATGCTAATTAATTTTGGCTACATTTTTGTAAATTTTGGGTTTTCTTGCATATCATGAAAACAAAGATGTGTTTCGAGTCCTTTTTTACTGCAGAAGCACAGCTAAGACTCCATTCTCGAAAGAATGCATCTTAGAGCAAATACAAGCATGTACCAGCTAATGTGAACAGGGGGCTGAACAAGATACCTCCTGAGGTCTCTTCCAACTTTGTCTTATTCTGTAGTGCTGTGAAAGCAAGAACAGGATAGTCGCAGGCTAGCACAAAAAAAAAAAAAAAAAAAAAAACCAAAAAAAAACCCAAAAAAAACCAACCAAAACCAAACCAAAACCAAAACCAAAAACAAACAACCCAACCAAACAAAAAAATCTGTATAGAAACTTTGGCAGAATTTTTTATAATGAGTAAAATAGAAAGGCAACTACATGAAGTTCATAAGAAATATCAGTATTGTTATCCAATTTAGATAATAAACCATAGGTATTTTGATGTTTCATGCTATGGGAAATATTTGTGGATGGATAAATTGAGTGTTAATTTTAAAAATTTATCTTTTGTTAACAATTCCTATATCTCTTGTGCTTATGTTTTTTTCCTTTGCCCTGTTATAAAAAAAAAAAAACAAAAAAACAAAAATTTGCCAAACAAATGTCAGACAATTACTAACCACCCACTTAAGCTGAATGGTACAAAAGACATTTAGGTGATGCTTAATCACATTTTATGCCTGCACTAATACATTGTCTCATGAGCATTTGAGACAGAGTAGTCAGGACTTTCCTCCAACTGTGGAAGTCTTCTTTTTGGAAAAAGAGGAAGGGGATGTCTGCTCTAACCTGTAGTGAAGTTTTTGTAGAATCTGGATGTGATACAATTCACTTGTGTCACAGGATCAAATCTCAAGTCTGCTGGTCCAGAGGATAGTCCTACATTATATGAATAAATGAGATAAACTGGCAGAACTTGTGGGAATCACAGTGCATTTGTGCAGCCCTCTTTGAAAGCCTCTGCAGCACACCTTTCCACCTAAAACTTCATACTGGTTTTACACTGTGGTTGGCACTTCATAGATGCCAATCCTTAAATTGATTGCATTGCTAATTTTTCATTTTCTGTCCTTTAACAGCTGGAAACAGTGAAAGTGATGGCCAAGAAGCGGTGAGGAAAATAAAAGAAGAAACTTTGACTGGAAAAGGTACCATATTATATATTTCCTTTCAGAAACCATTTTTCTTCTCTTTTTGCTGTCATCTCCTTTTATATGAGATCCCTTGTGTATTGCCAAATTTTTTTAAAAAATTGGGGCACTGGAACAGGTTGCCCAGAGTAGTTGTAGATGCCTCCTTCCTGGAAGTGTTCAAGGTCAGATTGGATGGAGCTCTGAAAAAACTGGTCTAGTAGAAGGTGTCCCTGCCCATGGCAGGAGGTTTGGAACTAGATGCTCTTTAAGGTCCTTTTTTCCCCAAATGGTTCTGTGACTTTATGAACTGAATTCCTGAAATAAATCTGACTCTGAATATTTTTTTAAGAATGTTTTCAGCCTTGTTTGACTTTATCATTTGTCATTGAAAAAGGGTTACCTGCAAGTTATAGTCTGCCTATGTATGTGTATGATTAAATAGATGAGAAAAAAGTCATAATACCAGCAATTTTTGCTAGGGGAAGGATGACAGCAGGTAAGAGTGTGTGTGTGGCATTCACATTCTATGAAAAAATTCCTTCAGCAAGGAATTTTCTCCTGGGAAGCTGAGAAAACTCACAGAAAAAGAAAACAATCCTTATCTCATTTGCTTCTCCTGTGTTTTGCTTGTATGGATTGTGTTTGGAGATTGTTTACCCAGAGGTGATTGTTTCATTGAACTCTGGTGTGTTGTTTTAACTTATTGGCCAATCAGGGCCAAGCTGTGTTGAGACTCTGGAAAGAGTGACGAGTTTTCATTATTATCTTTTTAGTATTCAGTAAGTATGCTTTCTGTATTCTTTAGTATAATGTAGTATAGTATTCTTTAATATAATATAGTTTTATAAAGTAATAAATTAGCCTTCTGAGGACATGGAGTCAGATGCATCATTCCTCCCTGCCATGGGGGTCTCTGCAAATACAATAATGTGTGCTCTTTCACTTTGCTTGTTTTAGGAGCTAACAGGCTTTTGAAAGATCAAGGCTGCTTGACTGGGTCATTTGACACATGTTAAGAGCTTATAATACTTTGCAAAGTAAAACCATTTTCTTAAGTGTAAATGGACCTCTCATATCAAGCCTAAATTCCTACCTTTCTGGGGTTCTTCTCTTATCTCCTTTATCTGATGATCTATCATATTTGTAGAGGTATTAGGACAGAATAGCTTGAGAAAGAGAAAAGGCAGGTTCCACACTACCTGCTCTGTGATTGCAATTTGCAGTTTATGGTGGAGGTTAGTGCAGCTCACATTTTTGTCCCTGGGTGTCACTGGGTGTAGTTCCTAATGGTGCATGATGATTCATTCCTGCCACTTTGACGCATAATTTCTTGGCAAAATAATAGGGCAGTGTTGCTAGTCCAACCTATTTAGGATCTTCATAGCTTCTTCTGAGATCCGATTCTGTTTTTGTGCCTCTAATAATTACTGTTATGATGATAAAAATACATGTTAATTATTGTGTTAAAAGCCCCTTTCATTATGTTTTATCTTTTTACTTAAATAAATGTGCATCCATTATAGCCTCAGGATACATGTATGCTAGTTAAAGGCATCATAAATTAAGGCATAGTTAGAAGGATCATGAAAGGAAAAAGGTAATTATTACATCATTAAAGTCTTTTGCTGGAAGTTTCTGTGCAGAGACCAAAACCAGTTGGAATTAATAATGTCATGTGACTTGCATGAATCTGAATAAACCAGGGTCCATGTTATTTTCTCCCTCTGTGTGATCACAGGCTTTTCTAGCGCTCCAGTCTTTCTTGTTTTTTCTAAGTAAAGTCAGTTATAGCCATCAGTTATAAATTCTTAAGACACAGATTTCAGTTTGAGGAAGCTGAAAAAGTATTTAAACTTGACTGAAGTTATTCCTCCTTGTAATTATTTTAACCGAGGCTTAAGTAATCTCAGGCCTCGATAGGTTTAGCCTAAAAATAAATTGGAAGAGTATCGTCTTTTTGGAATTTCTCACTGATTGAGGGAAATTTGTCTTTACGAGTGCACTCGTAAATACAAATTGTAGACTTGTTCAGAACTGAGAGGCACTCCTGTGTTACTTTTTATCAATAAATCTGCACTTTTCTTTTAACAGGATGTGTGTGTATATACTGTGGCTAAGTGTCCTTGGTTGGCTATATGATTCTTGTGTCCAAACCAAAGCACCAAGACAGGGCTGTGCAAGAGTATTACCTTTTCAAAAGCTACCTTTTCAAAAGTTCAAGATCTGTTTACTCACTGCATGAAAACATTGTTTGTTGTCTTGACCCTTTTCCCCTGCTTTTTCTTTGAGCATTTTTCATGGCCATATGAAAACATGGCTTTACAAAAACCACTCCCATCAGGAACATCAGACTCTTGAAGGACAATTACTCAAAATAGTATTTTTGGCAGCCAGTGTGGTCAAGGATTGGGACAATATGACTGTTATGGGCAAACAATATGCGTGGATGCCATCAGTTTGGTATCATGATCTCAGATTCCTTAGAATGAAGAAAATCTCCTTGCTTTTTATCAGGTTAGACAGCAACAAGGAGCAAAAGACCTTGTCCTCTCCTTGTTGCCTGGCTGAGCCATACATAGCACAAACATCCCCAGAGACAGCTCTGGGAAAATGCCAGGCTTATTGAATGCAAGTAATTACAATGTTTTTAAGGCACTGTCATCCTTCTCTGTCTTGGCCTTGTCTGTCTGGGGCTCTGTCTGATATCTAAGGGTAAGTAGTTTTACTTGACATAATCTGTACTTACTTCTGGGACAAGTGAGATTCGAAGCATGTACTTAAGTAATTCCTATGAAGCAGCTGAGGAGCAATAATGGGCTAACAGTTGCACAGGAGGATAAAGGATAATAATAAAAAGGCTATGCATGCAGGTGATGGGATTTTTTTTTTTTTTTTAAAAGGATGGACAAAACTTCTGAATACAGGGAGGCAGGAAGCCTGGTTTCCCATCCTGGAGGCATGGAAATCAGAGCAAATGTCAAAAGACAGTAGAGAACTGGAGAGGAAAGCTGTTGCAGCCATTTGCTACAAAGCAGTGATGCTAAATGACTCAGAAAATCTAAATAATGTAGCACTTCATCTCTTCCTTCCACCTACCCTCTCCCCTGGTGCTGCATCAGAAACCTTCTTGGTTCCTCTCCCTGCTGATTCCAGACTGTTTAAGTGTCATCCTTGGTTTTGGGTCTCTGTTCTGGGTAACCTAATACAAAGTGTAAGGAGGGAGGATGTACATGGGCAGTTGAGTGGAAGTAAATAAGCTACAAATCCTTGGGGCATGATAGACCCAGTTAGCTTAACCATCAGAACCTCCTCCATGATAGAGATCACAGCCCTCAGATATACAGAACAGGCCAGAAATAGTGCTGCATTGTCATTAAAATTCTCACACCCGGCACTATTTCCAAAAGACCAAGGGCAACACATTGCTACACTGTGAATCACAAAGCTGGGAGAAGCCAGGATGATGTGGACGTTTATCTTGCTTCCATTTGTTAAATTGGGAATTTGTGTTGTTAATAGCAATTATATGGCTGGGAAAATCGTTGATGGCTCGGGATTGCCACAGAGATATTCTAATTGGATAAATCTCTGTAATTTGCACATAGGGTGTGTCTCTGTCAGTGTGTTCATTAGTTAGATCAGCTGGGTGCTTTTCAGGCAACCCTCAGCTCTTGGCTGCTTGCTGAGTGCAGGTTCCTATAAGGAAGGGCGCTGCAGGTCCTGGCCTGGATTCCCTTTGGACAGGACTAGCCTGGGAGGTGAGTTGCAGCAGTAACAGAGCATTACTGCATGGGAGAAAACTTCAGAGTTTATCTGAACCTTCCACAGACCTGCAGCCAGTGCCTATGTCAGGTGCCCAGCAAAAATGAGATGCAGAAGTGGACTTCTGTTGATCTAAACTGCTTGTTAGTGCAACCATAGTTATCAGTGGTGAACAAACTTCATTGAGCTGCAGAAATTCTGTGATAAAGTTTCCGTGATAAACTCAGCTCTCAATGATACTGCAAAATAATCTCTCCATTTACATAACAGAGTTACATCTCTTGACTCAGTTACCCTCAGCTTATGTCCCTGCAAATGAAAGCTGGTTTTAGCATGACGATTACAAACATACAAATGTTGGAAACTCATATATAAACATGAATGAGAGCTTCATTCATTCCAGCAAAGGTTCATGAATGCCGATGGAATCAGCAATTAGCAAAACTTTATGCATAAATATCACACAGCACAGTACTAGGGGAAGGCTCTCACATCCAGAGTTTAGGAGCTGGAGTTGCAACTAGAGTCAAAGGAGAAAAAAATTATCATTTAGTAAGAGAAGAGGGTGTAAAAGTCATATTAAGCTTAGACCTCTTCAAAAGGAGAAGCCTGTGTTTAATCTCACCCAACATTTTTGCGGCAATTCAAATAAAACCACAATTATAAAACTGCAAGCTAAATTCACAGCATTCATGAAACTTCCATTTGAAGTCAGGTGAGAAAGGAAGAAGAGACTTTCTCCCTCACAATTAGAGGAATGCAGAGGTTAGCACAGTGGCAACCAAATTGTGTCATTTACAGTCTGACCCACATCAAGACAGCATGGATCAAATAGTAGAATGAATTGTCTTTTTAAAAAAAGTGTGCATTTAACAAGCCTGGCTTTTCCCCAGAGCTTTCTCTAGAGATGTTTATGCTACATGTGGCTCAGCCAGGGAATAAGGAGATGACAAGGTCTCTTGCTTCCTTTTGTAGTATAACTTGCTAATAAATAAGGAATTTTTCCTTTTATTAGAGACCTGAGATTGAAGAATTGACGTGAAAGAAGATGGGCTAATGTAGCTGATTTGTACCAAGTGTAATTACAGAATAACTCGTGGGTGGTTTCTCCACCAACGCTGCTGTGTCAGGCACCATTTTTAACAGAGCAGTCCAGCTTTTTCTGCTATGTACCAGGGAGTTTGTTAGCTTTCCCTGCAGGCTAGAGGAACTCCTCTGCTGAGTTCCCAAATTCACAAACTTCTCAACATGGT